AAACAATCCTTTGTTTATCTTGCAATACAATACCTACCATTTGAACATGACTAATATCCAATTACTTTATATCATATCCAATTCAATAAAATTCAACTTTTGTGGTATTTAAAACCTTTTACATTTATATCAAAATTAGTGATGTTATTCATTTTGTTCAACTGAAATATTTCAACAAACGGATGATACATTTTGGGTGTATCCTAATTTAATCTAGAATTTAATTAGAATTCTTATGACGAATGTGGAGAAAAATAACAATAGGTGAGGAGTTCATAGATTTGAAGAGTCGAATATTCAAATATATATTTATTTCCAACAGGCATAGAGTCATTTTTCACTTTTTATGCAGACGCAAAAATATGGAGATGAACGGACGGCTTTATAACTGAAAAAAATCAATTACACTCAAATGAGATAAATTGGCAAGGAGATCAGATTTCACTCTTAGTGAAACGGGTATCTGTTTATTGTCCCGTCAAAAAGCAACATAAATAGGTGTAAAAATATTTAAATAAACATACTGTTTTATTTTTTATGGGAGTCAGCCAGGTACAGTTCGATTGTTTACATTCATAAGAATAAAATCCCATGGTGTAATTCATATTTTGTGAAGATCTTATCGACAAGGGGAGATTCAATTTTCTAACAGAATGGGAGGTAACTCTGATGACAGTTATGTTGTTTAATATTTAATTAACATTACAGATTGGACAGCAAATTGTATTGCATTACTTAACTTTTATATTTTAAAATTTATTTGAACAATTGTTACTTTAATCTTGCATTAAATCGTGCAATGGAATCGCTTATAGGCAGTAGATACTTGAATAATATTTCCCAAAAGTTAAGATTTATCTCCCTTTAATTGGTGCCCTTGTCATACAGCCGGCTGCATTCGATATGTATCTTTTCGCATTTCGAGTAACAAAAGTTCTTACGGATTAAATCTCTTGTAATTGCATTCTTAATTACCTATTTTATACGAATTCAATAAGTGTTTTGCATGCCTAACAATAGACCAAAATTTATTTATGTTAATTCTAGAGTGGTTGTCAAATGTAGCTAAAGTGACAAGAGGCGGTGTTGTATTAATAATACGTGTGGGCAGGTCTAGAACTGATTGCTCGTTTTGCAAGCTTAAATCACATTGAATATATTCATTTAATAGTACAATGGAATTAAACATTTGATTCAAATGTTGGAATACGGATTGAATATGATTATCTCTCTACAAAGATTCGTCAAACAAAGAATTTCAATTTCCAAAATAGTAAACTTATACTTTAGAAATGAGATTCATAAGAGTTACAATCTTTTTTGACAATAATAGCTTCCATTTTCTTTGAAAAACAAACGTCAAACGTGTTGGTGTGTTAATGTTGCTAACTCTGTTTGTAACAATGATAAAGTCGCCATTGTGATTCATTGTGATGCAGATAACGATTTGTGGTGTGACACCTGCTGCTAGCCAGACACAGAATGTTGAATTAAAATTTAATCTTTTTTCTTTAATTCAGCCATTTAATCAGAGTCAACAGGTTATGGAGATAGATAGGATTTGAATTTTTATTTCATTCTAAGTATGATACCTATTGCCTTTTCATTTAAATAAGTGATCCATGGATGAAATTTGCCGTCTACTGTCAACTTCAAAGATTATACCATATATCTATGATTGACTGTCCATGACTTGGATGGTGTATGCTCAACAATTTAACTCTTAATATTTCTTTTCAAAAAGTGAAATTGTATCCATTAAATATATCTCGATCTAAATCTGTTGAAAATTTGAACCATTTCAATTTCACAAACATTTTTAATTTTAATAATGATATTTAAACGAGGAAAGCTGTGACGTATTATTCTTGGTTCATCATCTGTAGCGACACTGAAGGTCCTTGGCATAGACTCCCTGTATCGGGTTTACAGTAAGAATGTAGTAGACATTTATAAAAGTCTTGCAGCGTAAAATGAATTGAATTTTTAAGTATTTCCAATTCAATAATTTGCTACAAATAAAACGATTCACATTTCAATAAATTTTAAGCTTACATATGTATTCACCAAGCGATCTCTTTTGTTTGAATTTGCAAAAAGCATATACATATTAGGTAACCTCTACGTTTTGCGTACGAATAGATATTAGTAACACAATGTTTGCAGTTTCCTTCCCCTTTCTGAAGCATCACCATACTAATATATTAATAGCAGTGGCGGATCCAGAGGGGGGCGTAGAGGGCGTACGCCCCCCCTTTGCTTGCACTTTTTTTTTTTTTTTTTGTAAAATGATTAATCAGACTAGACTTCGCGAACTTTGCCATTTCCCGTGTATTCAATTTTTATGCGACAATTCTTAACTTATAAAGATAGTTTTCGCTCGTACACTTTTACTGTAATATATTATTGATTATGTCAAAGTCATGTGATTCGCTACGGTGGAGTTGACCAGTACGTCGAAAAAACGTCACTCAGTCATTTTGAAATTCAAATTACAGTAATACATTGCTTAGGCTGAGGATGACAAGCATGACGCCTTCAAAGCGACAAAGTATTGAGCAAGAACGTATTGACTTCTATTTCACAATTCCAACCATCAGAAAGTAATACTCTATTACACTCTCATGAAAAAAAAGTTCCACAGCAATATTATTTACCTACGAAAACATGTTTAACCCCACACGCGCCAGCCCATTAATAACATTGCTGAATAGTGATCCCCAGTTAGTAAGCTCTAAATACAGATTTAAAGTCTAAGGTACGGACCATTTTATTTGAGGGGGCAGTCTGAGATATTTCAGAGAAAAAAATCTGACCTTGATTTTTGCTTTAAACAATAATTCTGGCCGTATCTGGATTTAAAACAATAATCTTGTCCACTTTTTTGCTATTAGAAAAAAATATTTTCAACAAAATCATTTAGCATTAAATGAACATGATGAATAAAAAACGGGCGTAATTTTTTTTTTTTTTGGGGGGGGGGGGGGGGGGGTTGCATGTGAATCCCATATCTGACCGGAATGTCTGTTTCGCCGAACTGATATACTGAATACTTTTTTCAAGGCCCGACTGCAACCTGCTGTTGGGTGTGGCCTATATGTCTTCATGTGTCGACAGTCATTCACAACTTAATTGTCATTTCCGACTCATTAGTAGCCTTTGGTTGATTTGGAACCCCCTCACTTCCCTTGTTGGTTTAAACATTTCAACCAAACATTTGGATAAAAATTGCTTGTTTGTCTTTCTTCGTGTCGGTCGTATTGTAAATTTCATAGAATAGCCGTATATCTTGTTTACAACAAGAAATCTGTGAGGTTATGCTAACTAACCATGCATACAACAAACGAAATTTTCTATGTCCATTTTTTACTGACAAATCCCACATCAAATAAATTAATTAGTACATAGCTTTGGATCCATCCAATCATTTTATAATAGACAATTAATGGAGAGAATACGGCACCAAAAATGTCCAACCCCTCCACTTTAACTATAAAATGCATTTTACACTTATTTTATGTTTTTTAGTAAAAAAAAAGGCCCAAAAAAATTTTCGCCTCGCTCCGCTCGTCAAACTTCATTACTACGCCCCCCCTTTCCAAAATCCTGGATCCGCCCCTGAATAGGCCAAATCGGGGTAAGCCTCGGATCCTGGTTCACTGCTCGACAGTTAGAAAAACAGTATTCGAACAGTTCCCACATTCATTTAAAAAAGGACATCATCCAGTCTTACTCTTACACTTGGGGAGTTCATATACCAAAAATGAGGAGTCGGTTTAAGCAGAGACATATATGTGTATATATGTCTCTGGTTTAAGTGAAAGTTTTGAATGGAATTGCGACTGAGAAGTTTATTGTCAGTTTAGTACATTTAGTTTATTAGCTGAAATAACTTTTATCTTTCAGACCAAATATAGGTCGTAAAGATTTAAAATACTCATCAAATGTTTTATATTGTATTTACTTACTTATTCAAATAAAACATTACCCATATTTTATTGAATTTATTTAAATAATTTTAACATTTTGAATAAATCTTTCCCTTGTTTTCAAGTATTTTAAATTATTTACACAGTATAAACATCTAAATGGCAACTCAAGAATATTCCCTTTGATCTCGTACTAATTGCAGTATGGTTTACACACACATGTGGAATTTATAGAAACATACTACAATCTAATACATTTTTACTGTAAAATATTGTAGTATCTACTTCAACAAGTGCAGCTTTATAAATACTTTGAAATTGTCATAAATTAAGTTGATTTATAACAATCATACTAATTTACAGGGCAGAATTCAGTGTAATCTAAGTTTTTTATGCTGATTGTAATTTATTTTAAAGATAAAAAAGATTTACTTTTGTTAGCTTTGATAATTCAATTAGCATTTTTTTTTTGAAGAAGCAGTCAAAGATTTTATCCATCATGAAAGTGCACCATACATTTACAAATCTTGAAATGTAGCAATAAGTCTACAATTGCATAAAGTTATTGTAGAAAGCGAAAAACTTTTTTATTTTCGGAATATTGTAAAATACTTGCCTTTGAGTGTAAAGCAACTAACAATCAGTAATCTTGGCTTTTTTTTATATCATATTAAATTTTGGATTCAAAACATATGTATACATCACTGAGACTGCAAACCATTGAATGACACAAAAAACGAAAGGCATACCCATATATATACATGTATGTATAATAGAGTGAGATGGAGATAAACATGTGGTCTTAAACAAGAGACAGGTGTCTATATAGTATGCCAAGCTTTTAATCACTCAAAGTCTAAAAAGTTGTGGATAAATTCAAGAATCTATGAAAAATCTTACCGACAGCAAATTCTCGAAATAACAAAAAACTGTAAGATATGACAAACAAATACCACAGAATATATATAGCAAGGTAGAATTTGAAAAACTTTGCACAACATGGACATCTCTTCTGAATTTGACATTTTTTGATAAATTCTGTTGTTTATAATGTGAACCTTTCTGTTTTAGTGCCAGACCAGGAAGACCACCAAAGAGAAGTCCATCAATTCATGCTAGTCCAGATACACTAGAGAAACTGAAGAAAAGCAGACTGGATACAGACTTCCAATATGACCCAAGACTTTTTGGTACGTATAGCACCAACTGTATATATAACAGACTATTATTTAAACTTGGAATTATTTTCAATTATGGAATTTGCATAATTTCTTGTGCTTGAAATTTTTAATAAATTCCATGTTTATTTTGTATTATAATGTTTTGAGCGGCGCATAACACTTTCCATACAATGTATTTTATATAGATAGTGGTGTGCGCCGCACAGTACATTCTATTGAAAATGTGCATTCTTCTTTGTAATAGAAAGTGTTGTGCGCCGCACAGAACATTAAAATACAGAATAAACATGGAATTTATTTAAATTTTCAAGCACAAGAAATTATGCAAATTCCATAATTAAAAATAATTCCAAGTTGAAATAATAGCCTGTTATATACTATCAGTCTAGTTTATATATGTATTATTTTTTATTTTAGGGATTGAAAAGGGGACGAGGAGTGAAAAAAGAGTTATAACATTGTATATTTTAATGACCTGTTTAAAGAATAGCATCTGCAGTGTACTCTTGATTTATTTTTATTTGAATGATATGCATAACAACATTTGTATTAAGATGAATTAAGGGGTTGGTCCAGTGACCAGAAATAACTTTTTTTATCAATCCAGTTCAGAACTTAGATACTGTAGAAGTTTTAAGTATGTTCCCCTTCAAAAACTTGATTATAAATATAATGGTCAAAAATTACGTGCCGTAATACACCTGTAAGGCACAGAATGTTAATTCATAAATAATTGCTAGTGAAACAGAATTTTGATTTAAATTATATTACAAAAAATATTTATCAATAATTTAAACAGCTCTACAGCAACAGTTTATTTAGAAATTAGTAATTTCTGACAGCTCAAATAAATGTACAATTTGTTTCAAATCTCTAAACCGTATGCATTGTCTTTTCCTAATTATCCATATGAAGAAAATCAAACAAGTTTGACAGTAAATGTAAATTTATACCATTCTAATCTAAATACCTTGTAGCAAATACATAATATCTCATTAACACTGAATCATTTTGTAATAGAGCGCACCCAAGAATTATTGGCACCTTGTCATTTGTGTAAACAATAGAAGTCAAACGTTCCCTTTATACTTTAATTGAGATTGTATTTTCATTTGAAATAACACAAATGGCTTATAATCATTCTCAGTCAATTAGATATATTTCTCTCTTTTAATGTATATTTGAATAGGAAAAAGTGCAATTTGATTGTGGTTTTATGTAAATAAAAGCAAACAAAGCAGAGTTATTAAGGTTTACAGGGCATTTACATGTTTACTCAGAGCTCTTGCTTATTAGACCACTTTAATACAGCAATGAAAGGCAAACAACATTCACACATCTGTCATTTAGATTCTAACAAATCATCACCAAAAACTGATTATGTTTTGTTTCAAATTGTTACATAATAAAACAAAAAATCCATTTGTTTATAAGGTTTCAAAGAAATCTGTAGAAATATAGAAGTTTTTACCCAAAGCACAATAATAAGGGAACAGAGAAAAATGACAAGAAAAATCTGAAATTGATAATACTATAATCACAAAAACTTAGGTATATTTAGTTTTTGTTCATATATAAGAATGACATAAGCAAAATTCCATTCACTCAATATTTTTTGGGGAAATGGGAAATTTGAAATGGGAAAGGAAGAATGTTCAAAATTTTCTCATATGTTTTTATATTATGGCTGGACAGATGCTGTATTTTGTAAGAATTTTGTCCATTTGTTGAACCACTAATGACAAACTTTTCACTGTGTTTCTCAGTTAACGTGTTCATGGTAGATATTTAAGTCCCTCTTTTCCCAACCACTGCATTCACAATGCATGGATGTACTTGTTATTTAACTTTCAAAATATGAGAAATTTTCAATATGATGACTATGAGAGATTTCTGGAAGGTAAGCACATATTGAAAAGCTTAGATCATGTCTTGCCTAAAAGAGAAGCTTGAATGCTGGATATTTTGTAGTTTTGTTTCCAAATGGAACTGTGCATTGTATATTACATTTGTTTATTGTCAATTATCTGCCATTGTCAGCATTGATGGAAACATTATACTTTTTGTAACTAAAGTACGACTTACAGATGGTCTAATTAAAGTTTGATATTTAAAATCAAAGGAACTGGACACCTGCTTTTAGTAAATAGAATTATATAACAATCCATGTTCTGTTACATGAATGAATCAAAATGGTGTAGGTTGGTGATTTGGAAAATAAATTAATGGCTTGATAACATTCAACACAGGTAAATCCTAATCGAGTCTTACAGGGAAATCCTAATAGAATCTTGCAGGGAAATCCTAATCGAATCTTACATGGAAATCCTAATCCAATCTTACAGGGAAATCCTATTCCAATCTTACAGGGAAATCCTATTCCAATCTTACAGGGAAATCCTAATCCAATCTTACAGGGAAATCCTAATCGAATCTTACAGGGAAATCCTGATCTAATCTTACAGGGAAATCCTAATCTAATCTTACAGGGAAATCATAATCTAATCTTGCAGGGAAACCCTAATCGAATCTTACAGGGAAACCCTAATCGAATTTTACAGGGAAATCCTAATCTAATCTTACAGGGAAATCCTTATCGAATCTTACTGGGAAATTCTAATTGAATCTTACAGGGAAACCCTAATCGAATCTTACAGGTAAATCCTTATCCAATCTTACAGGGAAATTCTAATCTAATCTTGCAGGGAAATCATAATCTAATCTTACAGGGAAATCCTAATCTAATCTTACAGGGAAATCCTAATCTAATCTTACAGGGAAATCTAATTCGAATCTTACAGGGAAATCCTAATCTAATCTTACAGGGAAATCCTAATCTAATCTTATAGGAAAATCCTAATCCAATCTTACAGGCAAATTTGAGTTGTTGAATCTTACTTCAGCAGGGGTTAAAAAGAGTGTAGGTCCAACAAGTTTTATGAAAATGCATTATAGTGGGAGAACTTGAGGGTTGATCCCCTTCTGGTTGAAGCTTAAGTCTTTAAAATTCGTCATTTTGTCTCATTCAAGTAGTTAGAGCAAAGACTGATAGACTTGCAGTGGTAATAATTTGTCTGAGTACACCGGCATTGTATTTCTGCACACTTTGGTAATTTTTGTTATCTCTTTAATGTGGCATGTTTCAAATCTGTTTTAGCCAGTGTGGGTCAACACAAAGTGTTTTTTTTTGTTCCAATTAATTAACCTCTCATCGTGCAGCATTATCATGTAATATCTGCCACTGGACACAAAGCAATCAGCAATCAATCAATCAATGAAAGCTAGAATACAGAAATTGTCAATGATACAGAACAAAAAAGTCATTTTAATAACATCTTAATCATGGCAATAGACCTCCAAACATCTTAATCATGGCAATAGACCTCCAACTTTTCATTTGACTATATTAAGCGGAAGTCAATGGTCAAATTATACAGGTTGTAACTGACTTTGATATGTACTAATGAGAAAATACAATTACATGGTGACACTTATCAAAACAACTGTAATAAATTGTTCTGCAACATTGGAAATAGATTGAATAAAGACTGTTTATATGAGGTGTGTGTAATTCATCAACAAGGGAAAGTCAGATTTGATTGTAACTTGGAATGACAGCTCTATTAACACTTACTGACCCAGGTTTCTTTGTTTGTCCCCAGATCTAAGGAGTGTCTGATTAATTTATCGTTTAAATGAAACAATAGAAATTTAACTAGGTGATAACAAATAGATTTAGGTAAATCAAATTAAGATATTGTAAAGGTCAGGAGGAGTTAGTCACTTCATTTTGTCTTTTTTGATACAAAATGTAATTTGAATGGTTTGCTTTTAATGGCAAAAAAAAAATAAAATTGGAGGGCCCCAATCTATTAGTTTTAATTGAGTTTAATAAATATCTTCTATCCTTTGTGTTTCAGTCAGGTCAATATACAAACAAACTTGATCAAAGTGTCCAGTAAACTTGCAGTTTTTACAGGCCTTTTTAGCAAATAAGCATTATCTTGCCTGTTTGGCAATAAGCTAGCAGATCTGTGTTTCACAAAAAATCTTACAACTGAAATTGATCTTAAATATACTGAATTGTTCATGACTTACAATCAATTTTAGTTGTAAGATATTTTGTGAGATCTGTAATATTTATGTAGTAAGCCACCAAGCAGTTGTATAGCTATACAAGAACAAGGAGATATGTGTTTTGATTGTTCTAACTGACAAAGCACAAGGATGTAATGCTTCTTTGTAGTTGATCAACATGTCTTATTTGTAAGCTAATAATTCAGTTCTCTATGACAGATGATATGAGATCCTCTTTCACAGCTGATGATATCTCAAATTGAGAGTGATATTTATCAATATGAGATCCTCTTTCACAGCTGATGATATCTCAAATTGAGAGTGATATTTCTCAATATGAGATCCTCTTTCACAGCTGATGATATCTCAAATGGAGAGTGATATTTATCAATATGAGATCCTCTTTCACAGCTGATGATATCTCAAATTGAGAGTTTTATTTATTGATGAGATGAGATCCTCTTTCACAGCTGACATTCTCTCAAATTGAGAGTGATATTTATCGATGATATGAGATCCTCTTTCACAGCTGACGATCTCTCAAATTGAAAGTGATAATTATTGATAATATGAGATCCTCTTTCACAGCTGACGATCTCTCAAATTGAGAGTGATATTTATCACATTATATTTTTTTCCTCATCCATTTAAAGAAAACCCTCTTGATCATCAGCTCTCTTATCAAGATAACAGAGCCCCTTTTGTTGGTATGATCCTTTTGTTTTCATTTATTTGGCACCAGGACCTGTTTTTGGTTTGGTCAGCTTATGATACAAAACTTAATGATCAAAAAGGGATGATAAAACCATTCCTTAAGAGTACGACGAAAACAAGCTCAGAAAACAGAATAATTTGAAGAGGAACATCACAGTACAAAGTTAGTTGATTTAATCTCTTTTTAACTGAATGCACAAAATATGTGACTGCACTTG